GTTAATTTGGTTAAATAATCGATTCATTGGTTCAAATAGTTAATTATTATTTACCCGGTTAAATTAACAACACTGATGACGATATAATTACTTTGTTGTAGAACTCAAGCTCTACGAAACCCAGGACATTCGAAAAACTGTGACACTGCATGTAAATTTAATAAAGTTACGTACATCTATAAATAAAAAATAGTAAATCATGTGCACAAAATGCTATTGGTATAGAGAGTTGACAATGTTTTTTCAAATAAAAAAAATTTATAAATACATAAATTTGTATTTAATAATCAAATACTTTGGTAACTGATAATAATTTTGATGAAGCCAATTATTTTATAAAAGATCAAAAAAAACATTCTGGTTATTGTCATTCATACAAATGCGCATATTTTGAATTTAAAGGTATATAATTGTTACAAATTATGAAATAACAAAAGAAAAATTTATGAAGAATATAGTAGATCGAAGAACAGCTTGCTTATACTTATACTGTATATTTATTGAGAATTCAATAAAGAAAAATTCATATTGAAAGAGGCAAACTTTGATCGTTCATTATATTATTTTATACTGGTCGTTCATTACATTAAAGAGAATTACTTATAGAGACAAATACCTAATTTTTTTAATCCATATATATTTTTAAAATGTAAGTACTGAAGTATTTTCATTTAATTATGAATTCTAAATTTATAATTTCAAGCAAAATATCAAAGGAATAAAATTAAAAGATATAATTAGGATCATTCGAATTAATCTAACCGAAGAAAAACGGAATCTTTTTATGCACGTGAATAAAAATTTCACTGATGCATTAGCGCTTGGATTAAAATATACATACAAAAAGAACAAATCAGAAACAATAGAATTTTCACGTATTTTGTCAATTGTTAAGACCAGACACAATAAGCCACGTCGTTATGTTTATTAAGTATTATGCTTATTAAGTAGATTGCGCATATAGAAAGTTCATAGCTTTCCAATATGAAGGTAGATTGATATGTATACGATTACTTAAACTTAATTGATTTTCATGCATCAAGATCTCATTATTAGTGACAGTGTAGAGAATGAAATTACTTTGAAAGGTTAATATATGATAGTTGTAATAATGATAAAAAGTAACGGAACATTACTTACTGTATATATATGATAAGACATACTGAATATATATGATAAGAGTCAATAGAACATACTAAATATATATATGATATGCTAACAACCCTTTAATACAATTTGCTACAATTTACTACAATTCACACGATAGGTAGAATCTTGTTTTCTATACAAGTACTAGTATAGAAATTTGATAGGTTTAGATAGATTTAACAAATACAGGTATTACACACGCATGTACATAACAATAACAGGTATTTAGTCTTGCTTATGATATTAATTAGTTAGATTTGTTATTTGATAATTGATATAATTGATTGATAAAGATATCTACCAACATTCGAGTTACGACAGGTTTTTAGATGCTTATTTACGCATAATATGATATAACAAAAGTAGCTAGCTAACTAAAAATAGTTTAGATCAAATATTGATAGAACATAGGAGTAACTCACGTGGATCCGATGGATAAATCGAAAGATGGACTAGGAAAATTACCAAATTGTGGTTATAATCAATAAATACGTATAGTTCTGTACATACATACTTACGTACAGAACCGAAATGATGTACCGCATACGTAGAAAGAAAGCAATGGTAATGAACAAAGAAAATTTCCTATTTGATAAATATTTTATACTTTTATTTCGGTCGTTTATCTTTGGATGTAACATCGTTTTTTGGGGATATCTCTCTTTTTACCCCTTAAATTATCCTTCCAAATAAAGATAGTTAAAAATGAAGCACAAAGATTCTACATTAATATTTATTGATTGCCCCCGAGAGAATTTTTAACACCATTGGTCTCTAATTAGTTCTTTTTTTTTTTTTGCTGGTAAAGAAATTTTTTTTTAAATTTAATGGCGCAACAAATTATGCAATTATTTTTGCACTATCTATAAAATAAAAGGCTTTTTTTTGGATTTAATTTTTTTTGCCATATAAAGACATCGTTTGGTTTTGGTTTTTTTTTGCGTTACTATTTAATTTATTGTAACGTATCAAAATTGAACACAAAGGATTAAAATTAATTTTTTTTTACGAAAATTTAGAGCTTAACGTGTAACGTTTTTATATATTTACCTTTCGTTCGTCTCACGGCAATAAAAAACCAACAAACTTTGTATCAAAGCAAAGTTAAAACATTATATACATTCATTAGTAAAAAAAAATATACATATATATTTAATAATAAAAAAAATGGGTGGATGCGTCTCTTTTCCTCATCAAAGATCCAAAGACTTGGGCATCAGTTCTTTGTCATTGAAACAAACCCAAAACAAACAAGGAACACGTTTTCACAATGGTTCACCAAATGAAAATTATAGCAATGCTAGAAAAGCTAAAGTTTTGAAGCGACCAAAAAAGATTCACAAAGGAATTATTGGACTTCCTTCTAATTTCCAGGTATTTATCAATAATGATTTCTATTATTTCAACTTTTAGATCAAAATGAAAACAATTGCAGTTATATTTATTTATAAAATATTAAATTTGTTTATAAACTATGAAATTTATTTATTTATTTACTTTTATAAAATGTATAAACTTACAAATAATATTATTAATCCTAATCGTACCTTAATCTTTTTTATGTAAATAGCACACAGGGCACATTGGAATTGCTGAAATGCGTAGTGGAAGAGTTGATGTGAGTAGTCTCTTACTAAAATACTAACCTAATTAATTAGTGTCTTCATATTTTAACTAAATTCATACTTAATTTCAATTATTCCCGATTGCAAATATTATAGCCAGAGAAAATTAAAATTCAAATGGCTGAAGTTGCAGCTGCGTTACGTCTAGAAATAGTGAATGATACAGGATCGATTCCTTCAACACCAAGATCAGAACCTAAATTATTATTTACCGATGCTCCAAATGGTTTCTCTTCATCAGTAACAAGTTCACCTACCTATGATTCATCTTTGCAACAATTTCATATTAAGGTTTGTTACAATTAATAATATAATTTAATAATCAAAATACTAAATCAATTTGAGTTTATAAATATTAATATTAAATAATTTGGATCTTTCTCCTTATAAATAGAGAAAACCGACTTTAACTCCAGTCTCTTCACCTTCACCTCGACCTACCACGCCAACAGCGTTACAACAAACTAAAATTGATCCGATGGCTGAAGTTATTGCAGCTATGAAAATGCCAATTGATGGAAATTTCAATAATCGCAATAAATTTCATTCTGATGCCGTAAATTCCGGTGGGGTAAAAGTTGCATAGTATGTAGAGAATGTGTAGAGAATGGATGTATAGATACTATATATATTTGGTGTGGTATCATTTATCTATTTTTTTTTTTTTTAGACCAAAAAGCTCGTTCGGTTTACCGACACGTGTACTTATATTTTTAGAATTGTCGATCAATTTCTTATAATAATGCGTGTACATAAACATTTTTTTTTTTTAACATATTTTCATAACTTAATTCTATTCTTTTTGGGATCAGAATAAGGGAAAAAAATTCTTGGGAATTTGTCTGTGACAATTTTATACGAGCTGTAATATGAGCGGTTAGCTTTATAGAAAAAGTATTAATATTATTCCTATCGAATATGTGTTATTAAAAAAAAAAAAAAAAAAAAAATAACCCATGTTCATATTTCAATTTTCATTATTATTAAATTAATCTTTTTTGTTACTTTTTATTTTTTATTTTTTTTTTCAAAAAAAAAACAATGTAATTTTAAAATTTATTTTTCTCTTTTTTTTTTTATTTTACGATTTTCCATGTTAAATCGCGCAGTTAAAGTTTTTTTTAACGTTTGATTTGATATTCCTTTTATGGATTTATTTGTTTATTTCTTTCTTTATTAGTATTAATATTAGAGAGGAGGTTTCATGACATAATCAATTGTGCATTCAAAAAAGTGAAAATCTTGTATCGTTTAGTATTAGCGGAATTTCTTTTCCGTTTTTACACATACAACCAAAGGTATTATTCGTTAATCTCGTGATCTTTATACATATAACGAACGGTTGGAGATAATTCAATATAACAAGTCAGACGAAAATAATAAACAATTGACATCATTTTTTTTGCTTGTCTATAAATAGGAACATATGAAAGTGTGATGAAAGTGTGGAGTATGACAGAGTAATTGTATATACTGCACATACATACTTGTATCTAATTATCGCTATGCTTAAAACTACTTAAAATGTAACTTAAAGTGTTATGGCCATTCCGAAATCCACCGCTATTAACCTCATCTTCAAGATTTTAGATATCAAAGTTGGTTTGTTACTGATATTATTGACATACTATTGACATACTATTGACATACTATTGACATACTATTGACATACTATTAATATACTATTGATATATTATCGGTATATTATTGGTACGCTTACATTAATATATATGTAAATATCTCTCCGGTTGACAACAACAATGATTTAATAATCAATTATACTTTTACCTTTTGAAATACCAGTACTTTGCTGATAAAAAATGTTTTCCCACGCCATTTTCATTAATTCATAACAGTATTCATATTGTATAAGAAGGCGTTGGGATAAAAATTTGCCTGCAGGTTCTAATTTTGACTGCATTCAGTGCATTTAATTGTTTGTTAGATAATCTTACTTTTTGTATTGATATAATATACTATAATATTTTATTCTTGTTATTGTTGTTTGAAATAAAAACGCGTTCATTAATTGATCTCTGAAACATTTTTTATCAAATCTTACTGTATTCGATACTAACGCTTTTGGATTTTATTCTATTAATTTAGTTTAATTCGAATATCGTTAGAACATTTGGATCTTCTGTCATAATTGATAAATATGTTTGTAAAACCAAATTGACTTCCGGTGTATATACCGATGTGGCTCGGGATAGTGTCACACGACCACTATCAAAACTATCAAATTTCATACGACTTTAGTACTAATACGTAATGCTAAAACTCTGATCAAGATGTTGAAAGACTTAACACGAAGAAATTTGATTTATGAAAAGTTCTGTTTATACCGTCATTCTAAGAAATATATACTATATAATTTATCAGTATTGCATGGACCGGTAAATGGTCAACCTTGACCAGACCAATTTTACCGGTCTGGTCAAGTATTTAGTATTGGTCAAATTGTTTATATAATATTTATCTATAGTATATATAATTTAACTAATTTAACTAGTATTACTGTATTAAATCCTTAGATTAATTAATAACAAAACTATTTGACAAATTGGTTTAATTAAAAACTTTTAAGTTTTTATTTTTTTTTTTTGAATTTTAAAGAAAGACCTCTATGGATTTTTATTAAGCATAACATTTACTTATTGCTTATGTAAAGAGATATTACATTTTGCATATCAACAAAGTTACGATTAATCATATACAATTTTAGTTATTGTCTATCTAAAGGTTCTGCTCACAGGTTACCTATTAATTGCTATACTTAAAACCTGTCTGTGGTTTCTGTAATATCAAATTTAATTTAATATGCATCAGGCCTTCAGACTACTTTATCTGCGAGATAAACTCTACTGAGATTTCATAGCTATGCCTGTTATAGATTTCTTCTGTTAAAGGTGTTTTCTGATAAGTAAGGTCAATTTATTTCTACAGGTTTTTTTTTGTTTATCACTTCTCTTATCAAATTAATGTTTGTATTTTACAAATTAATTTTCTTTTAGGAATTTTTAATTCAAACAAATATTTACTTGGGTTTATGTTATAGGGTTTCATATTTGATTATAGATTTCTAATTAGATTATAGAATATATTTTACTTTTAGTTAAATTTGAACTATTAACCTTGTTTGTAGTAGATTTGAAAATTTAAGTATATAAAAACTATTTTTACTATTTTAACAAATTAATTTTTATAAATTATTTTACTATAAATCTTTTTTTATAAATTATTTTACTATAACCCTTTTTTTATAAATTAATTTACTATAAACTTTTTTTATTTATAATCTAATTTTATCTAATCCTATATTATATTTGATTTTATAAAATATATAATGTATAAATTATTTTTATTATTATAAAACAGATTACAAAACAAGAAAGTTATAATAAATTGTTATTTTAAAATTTTAAATATTATAAAACATTGTATTATAAAAAAGATTAAAAATTTTAGTAAAATTTAAATATAAATATAAATTTTATAAAAAAAATAATAAAAATGTTTTATTTTTTAGACAGAATTATAATTTTTTTTTTACAAAACAAAAAAATATAATATTTATAAAGAAGAATATTTTATAAAAGTAATAATACAAAAATTCAAAATTAAATATTTTTTTATCAAATTTAATAATTTTAAATTTGCTTGATATTGAAAATTTACAAGTTTTTATATTATAAACAACTAGTTTAAATTAGTAAATTTATTTTAATATTATTATAACAAAAAAACTCAAGCTTTTAAATATAATAATTAAGTTATTCTAAATTTATTTATAAATAAAAATTAAAAGCTATTATAAATTAAAACCATATTTATATATTTTAATTTAAAATAAAATAAAACAAAAAAAGATTTTTTTATTTTTAGTATAAAGAATTTTTTATAACTTATTACTAAAAAGAATTTAAAAAAACTTTAATTTAAAGTATATATATATTATTAATAAAATATTATATAATTTTAATTTAAACTATTTAATAAAAATAAAATAAAAATATATTGCAGAAGATAGTAATCCTAATATAATAGTTGAGTTGTTATTCTTCAAGCAATAAATTCAAAATTCAATTTTACTGACAATAGAAATTTAAAAAATGGTCTTATTCTGGCAACTTAATTAGGGTATTTGAGATTGTAATTTTTTAATTCTAGTTATATTAAGACTAACTTTAGAAATGTACAATGTTATATGAATAAATCTAGAAAATATATATTTTATAAGAAACTCTGTTTAGAAATTCTAAGTAGAAAGATAGTACAATCTTCAATAGTATCTTCTGTAAAAATCTTAATCTGGAAACAGAAATCTAGAACAAATAATTTGTATAAGCAAGAACTCTAGATAAAGAGGTTTACTAATTTGATTACTAGTTAAACCAAGTATAAAATTGCATTATACAGAGCTAACTAGATTAATAGTATAGAATAATTTGCAAAAATGTACAAAAAACTAGTAAAGTTGTAAATAAGAATACTAGGATTGTATAAACTCTTCAAGGGTATAGTAGTTTAAGAGTTATCTAATTGCAAGTATTAGTCTTAGTTATAGAATACTGAGTTAGCTAAAAATTAAATAACAAAAAACTTTAGTGAGTTTAATACAAGATCAAAAGTTTTTATATAAGTAAACTACTTTAAAAACCTAAAAACTAATTAAAAAAGCTATAGCTAACATTATATAAAACAGTTTAAAAAAGGAATACTAAATTAGAAAGATGTCAATAAGCTAAAAAGAAATCTATAAATTACAAGAATATATTAAAAAGAATAGTATAGTAGAATTAAAAAAAATTAAGATAGATAAATAAGATGAAATCATAAAAAAGTTTAAAATAAAACCAGTCTTTAGAATATTAGAAATAAGATATATTCTAATTATATAAGCAGAAAAAAAAACATAAAAGACATTTAGAGTCTATATAAATCTATATCTAAATATAAAAAAATATTCATAAATAAAAAGTAATACAAGTATATCTGATATTAAAAAATATAGAATAAGAATATAGCTTAAACAATATTACCTAATATTACTAATTAAAATATTCAAAAAGATTATAATAAAGTTTGTAACAAGAAGGCTTAGCAATATATTTATTAAAAAAAAATACTTAAATGATCAAATTATGCAAGCCTTTTAAAAAACTCTACAAAACAACTTATACATATTCTAAATATCATAATAAATAAGACAAAAAAAATAAAAAGTTATAAATATTTTTACAAAATATAAAAAATTATTTACCTTAGTGTTATTTATAAGTCTTGCAAAAAATTAAAATATCTAAAAAGACAATTAAGTGAATTTTAAATCTTTTTTTATAAAAAACAACTAAAAATAATTGCAACTTATGACATAATAGCAAAAGATAGAATAGACTAAAATAAAGTAATAGCATTACTAATATAACATTTTTTCTATAATCTATTATTAGAAATAATACAAAGATATTGTTATAGAATGATTATTTTATTTTATTATTAGTTATTTTTAGTTATTATTTAATTATTATTATTAGTATATTATTTTATATTGTTATAC